ATAAATTCATGTCTTATAGACCTCATTTAAAAGGAAAATTTAATGATTTGAAGACTTGTATGTTTGAAATTGGAAAAAGAAGGTAAAAGTTGCATATTGGGAATCCGGTTCACTTCAAATGAAGCTTGAGATGATTTCTATTATACATATAACAATTGAAGTATTTATATAGACTATAATGTTAATACATGAGAGTTGAAAGATGATTAGCTATTTTGTTCTATCAATACTTCATATACATAAGGTAGTCTTCATAATGATTCCATCTCCAATGTTCTCTATGTTCCAAGTTTGAAAATAAGCTTTGTGCATCTTCATACACCATGTTTGATGTTTATGGGTTACATTCATGTTAAACCCTCACGAGACTTCACTCGTCCTCTAGGGATGCCTAGGGGTTTAAAAGGCTTGTTGTATATGCTAAATGCAACCGTCACTCTCACGAAAGAAGAGTCATTTTGTTATTTCATTGTGTGTTCAGTTTTGTTTTGCTAAGGGACTAGCAAAATGTAAGTTTGGGGGTGTGATAAGCACCGAATATTGCATATTCAAGCGCACTTATTTGCATTAGTTAAGTCCATTATTTTATCATATTGCATATTCTAGCTTCATTTGCATGCTTTTGTTTATTTTTAGGTGAGTTCCCCAAAGAGAGTTAAAAGAGATGCTTTGACGAGTTTTTAAAGAATCAAAGCACGCTGTTGCCAGGGACCTTCGTTTTGGCCAAGATTAATGATCCACAGGACTCATAACACTTTATGCAAAAATTTCTAGGAAGAACTACCGTGTCTTCGGGCCGAGCCAAATCATTTCCGGTTGGAAGTAGCAAATTGGTGCAAGGCTGTAACAGCGCGGGCGCCGGTTGATATTCCATCAGACTTTGGCCTCCAATTTTGACCCTTTGCATATGCGAATTTGGTCTTCAGTAAAACATAAAATAGGAAGGGCTATGAGTCAACTTTCTATAGACATAAAGTTTGCCTTAATTGGATTTGTATCCAAAGAGTTATGTCATTTTTACCCCAGGTGTGCAATGCTGAAATTTACAGCCTGGCAGCAGTGAAGTTCAAATTTGTTCTTCATTTTCAACCCACCAAACTTGAGAATTGGACTTCCATTGAAACATGATGTACTTAGAGCTTTGAGTTAGCTTTCCAAACCATCAAACGGTTTGTCATTTGGAGTTTGGAGCAGGGAGTTATGACCTTTTTACCAAAGGTGCACAGACATGACAAGCACCCGCAGGCGCCCGCCAAGAACCGCCAAAGTGACCAGAATCTTCATGCATCCGCGGGCGCCCGCCATGCTCCTACCGGCACCCGCCACTCTGCGGACAAGGAAGCATGGGTTCCCCTTTTCTTCACCAACTGTTATCCCCTGAATTAAGGGATTACCCTACAATGGTCTTGGGGCTTTAGGACCACAATTTTGGAGTAGATAGAAGGCTAAGATGGATATAATAGAGAGTGGTTACATTATATAGGGATCATCTCATATTTTTGCTAAGTTTTAGAGAGAGAAAGTAGTGTTCTTAAGGGTTTTGAGTTCTAGCTTGCTCAAGGTGCGACAATGGAGGGTGAGGCTTCTTCTTCTCCTTCATTCATTGCATCCATGGGTAACTAACTTTCTATCTAGGGGGGTGATGAAACCCTTCCTTGTAAGCATGTTTAAAGTTTGATTTATTTTGGGGAATGTATGTATGTATGGACCAATTTTCATAATCTAGAGCACTTTATAATGTGTAATGAACATTATTTTGTATAAATGATCATGTTGAATCAATTACTCTTGTCTTAGATTATTTGTTCTCATGGTTGTATGGCTAGCATTTTCATAGTGACAATGAAAATAAGATTATGAAATGGTTTTAATGGCATGGTTTTTGATAAATTTGTTAATCCATAGCTTAGGGCTTCCTTTTGATGGGTTAATCTTATCTCTTGACTCCATGTGCTTTTACCATTTGATTGAGGGCTTGATAATCTCTAGCTTAATGAGCATGTCTAAGGCTACACCCTAGTTTAGGTAGTTCAAGCATGTGAAGCTTTGATACGTTATTCTTGCCTTGTGATTTAATGAATTTCATGAAGATATTGTAGTAACCATGCGTTGCTATATATCATGGTTACATATATATAATATTTCCCCAAATCAATCATAGATTTAGCATGTGTAAGGGGTTGAAGTGGATTCACTTCCCTAGTCCTCTCTATCTAAATTCCGTTTCTCTAAAGTTCTTGAAAGTTATTGTTTTATGCAATTTTTAATTCCTAATTTAAGTGACAACTCAAACAAAACTATATACCCCTTTTCATCATTCTAAAAGTGATTTTAGACACCTTGATTGCCATAAACTAACAGTCCCAGTGGTTCGACTTACTCGACCAATAGTCCTATTTTATAATGATTTGTGCTATTTGCAAAAGTTGATGTATAATTGACAACCGATCAATGTCCGTGTATTTCACGGTGGAACACACTTCAAGAAACTCATCCAAATGCTTATAAGGTTCTTCACTTGGAAGTCCATGATAGTTGAGAAGCATTTGAATGGTTTGTGGTTTAATCTCATAGTGATGTGCTCTAAATGGGGGCAATTGAATGCAAGTAGGTACATTATATTCATTAGGCACATAATGGTCTTTTAAAGCAATGGGAGGATTTACAACTGATGGTGCTACTCGAACACCTTGGTTGCCTTGCATAATGGGAGGTTGTGGAACAAAAATTGGCCGAGGCATTCCTAATGGAATTTGGCCTTGTTGTTGTGGTGGGATGAATAGTCTTGGCATGCCTAATGGTACTTGAATATTTTCATGATGCACATTAGGGTGGAGGATGCCTTGTTGGTCTATGTGACCAAGGTCCTCCACATGGTCGTTATTCAATTCCTCCATTGGTAAAATGGAGTGATGAGAACTACCTTTTCCCATAGGATTACGAACAACCGATTCAAGATGCAAATTAGGAGGGACAAGAGTGGAATTTAATGACCTACGACCATGCATGCACTAGCAAAACAATAACAAACAAGTAACAATCACTTCGCCCCCGCAACAAATCAATCAACAAACATTCTCCACATACATTGGTCCCATACTCCCATGTTTGAACAATATGCAAAGTAAAAGTAAATTGCCTCCATGCAGGCTCACGATTTATCTATGAAATGAAAAACTTGCCACCACACGGGCCAACGAAGAGGTGTGGTTTTCCCTTATTCAAATGTAGGGAAGCACTCCTCAGCACCCATGCCCCTCAGCAAGCCCATGGCATGCCTTACATGTAACACGTATTGGGAGCTTAGCCAACATGCTTAGGTATGGCTCGAGAAGCTGACACTCGGTGGCACATCGGCGACACCAAGGATTAGCAACGCGTACATATGGGCACGTAGTGTGCGCCCCATGCCCACGGGAGCGCGCGCGTGCACCAATAAGCCCCAAGTCTTGTGTATGGTTTGGCAAACTAGCACATGTGGGTCCTTGGAGTGTGCTAACTTGCCTTAAGCAAGGTTAAAGTTTGAATGGACTGAAGTATGGGTATGGCTTAGCGCTATGCCCCAACAAACCAAGGCGCGGGAGAATTCGTGAGCATTGGTTGGCTTGGTTTATATCAGTGAGCTTGGCACGGGCTTGGTTCACAAGATTTACTCAGATGTTGCTTAAAACATGGACCACATGATGTGTGGCATTGTCAAGTCAGGGACATGGGCATAAGGCAGTGGGCGTAGAAAGGCTTATCATGCAAGGGTGGCTCAGGGGACTAAAACATGGCTCACAGTTATAAAAAATGGCTAGGTGGGCTCAGTAGGTTGGGGGCGGTTACTAGCATTCCCACTCATGTACACACACACACACACATATTATGAGGAGTGGAGGTATGCTGAGTAACCTCCTATGCACGTGGCACAATTCTGAGGCGACAACACACAGGTGGTGGGGGATCAACTTTACTCCATTATGTTGATATATAGAGATAAACATATATGGGGCAGTTGCTGGACAATCACTAGAGACAGGTGGCATGTGCTGGCCATGCCAGCAAACTAGCAATTGGGCTTGTCAATTGCATATGTAGTGCTGATACATTCAGAGGGTGCCAGCACGACCCTAGATGGATGTGAGTGTCATCCACCACTTTAGTGGACTATTGTGGGCAGTTTTGTAAGTTTGCCTATAAATATGTGGAATCTGTAGAAAAGTGAGATACACAGAGAGAAGGGCAGTGAGATACAAAGAAGAGTGTTGTGGGAGACTCTTGTATGCTTCTGCAGGTTGAGGCATTTCCTTGTACTGTTTTGTGAATAATAGTAAAAGGTTAGAAGCTTTGGGCTTCTGTAAATTTGTGGGTGTTCTTGTCCTTACATTCTTGCAACTATAATTGTGTGTAAGAGTGTTTTACTTGTCGTGCGTCCTAGGCAGCAAGTGTAAGTTGACTAAGTTAAGTAAAAAATCAGAGAAAAATTATTTTTATTTTTGGTTTAGTGCCATCACAAGTTAGGAGATTCATACTCAAAATCGACCCCTATGACAGTAGACCTCACAGGTCCCTTGATTGTAGCTTATGCAGAATCAACTTAAGGTGATGCTTACCTTTAAAACAAAAAAACTTAGTGTTTGATAAATATCAAATAAAAAATTAAGTATTAAAAATTTTAATAATTGAATTATAAGTGGACACAAAAGTAATTAATTAAAAAAATATTCAATTCACTTAAAATAAGGTGGTGAATTGAATTATCAATCAGTCACAAAAATACAGTCAACATGCTCCGTATTTCTTAATTACGGACTTAATAACTATCAGCAGTAATTAATTTATTAATTAATTGTTAAGTTGGCTTTTCTTACTTTTTGCGCGTGAACACAGGAGGGGAAACTTGTAGGGGCATTAGGGCACGCGTTTGATCGCTGTTACTTGGCAGGGTGTGAGTGTCCACATATTATTATTATTATTACACCTACTACTACTATGAATTATTGGGATATGCAATCTCAAGTCTATCCTCTTTTGACGCCACTCTTCCGAGGTCCACCCTAGAGAGAGAAAATAGTGGAAGAAAATCTAGAGAGAGAAACAAACAAAGACTGTATAATATTACGGATATATATATAGAGGAGGAGAGAGAATGAGACTGAAGCCTTCAATTAATTGTTGTATAACAGTATAGGGGTCGTGTCGGCTTCTACGGGCGCAGACCGTGTACTTCCTATCTATCTTTACCCTTTTCCAAACCCTAATTATTGTGTTATCGATCTCTGCCTTTTCTTTGTTTGTTGTTGTTGTGTGTTTGTTTGAAAGCAATCTCACGAAGCTCTTGATTGCGATAGGAATGGTGGATTGATTCGGCTAGAGTTTGAATCACTTGCCTTGTTGTGTAAGCTCATAGTTATTGCTGTGTTTTTATATTTTATTTTTTCGTGATTTAGTTAATTTTTTGATGTTATAATCCTCTGTTCGGTTTATTTATATTCATTTCGTGCTATTCGATTACCTGTGTACACATGTATATGAACATATATATAATCAAGTCGAATTTGAATTTATATTTCCTGGTGACGGTGAAGATTGAGCCATTTTAAAGTGTTTATTCATATTAGTGCGGTTGTTTTGCGCTAAGCGTGATCGGTCTAGAGTTTTGTGGAAATGTAATGACCAAATTTGACTGTATTACTTATTATTATTATTTTTTCTCTCTCCCCTTGTTGTCTAATGGTGTGATTTTGTTATGTTTCTTGATATGTTTGCTTATCATTTTAGGCTTCATTTGGATACACAGGAGAGAAAAGAAAAGAAAGGATTAGGAGAGAAAGGAAAAGAAAGGAAAGGATAGCTATAATTTATATTCATGTTTGGATAGATAGGAAAAAAAAAAAAAAGAAAAAAAGAAAAGAAAAGCATAATATTGTTTGAATAAAACAGAGAAGTGAAAAGAAAGGAAAGGATAATAATCAAATTACTGTATTACCCTTTTGTATCTAATGTAAATAAAATAGCTTGTTTTCAAAGCTTGAATTACTTGTAATTTGGAAAGCTTGAATTACCCTTTTGAATTACTTGTATTATATAAAATCCTTATAATTTATTCCTAACAAGATGAAATACTTGTAATTTGGAACGTCAAATTGGTCAAGGATGTCACTAACATTCTAATAATCTAATTATGGATCCTAAAGTTACATTAAACAGTGGATTTAATTTAGATTAAGGGGCCCAAATCCATATCCACAAACAAAAGATTCAAAATAAAAACAGGTTGAAAATGTAAGCACCTCCTTTGCAAGCATTTCTGCAACACGTTTTCTCTTTCTTTTCCTCCAAATTTTGTTTCTCTTGGACTTCTGTATTTTTTTTTTTTTTGATAAGACAAATACTCCTCATGATTCAAATAAGAAGACAGGATGATAAATAAATAGTGTTCCCATGCACCCTTGTATAATATCTCTAGAAAAGGAGATACAAACTGCTCAAAACTAACTAAAGAAAAAACCCCTCAATGAAAAAGATCCTCAATCTCAGCTGTAAGCTTAATGGGATTTTACATACTCCTGAACTATGTGAAGACCCCGTGTTTCTTCCCGTAATCCTTAACAACAACACAGGAACAACCAACCACCTTCCTTGCTTTCCCTTCAGATTCTGATTTGCAGATGTGAGAGAAGGGGAGATAGAGAAGCTACGCCCTAATATTTTGACCTAGGACTTGAATGTAATATAAATTTTGTGTATAGAATTTTGAAGGCTAATTTTATCTCTAATGAAAATTTTACTTAAATTGTTTCCTATCCCCTCAAATCTTCTCAAAATTGGAAGGATTTAGTTGGAGGGATTTGGAGAGATAGACTATCCCTCCAAATCCTTCCCAATCCTTTATTTTCTCTTCTATTCTCTTCATCCAAACACACTTAACACTATCCTTCCCCTTCTTTTCTCTCCAAATCCCTCTAAATCCCTCAATCCAAATGAAGTTGTGTAAACTGTAAAGCTAGAACAAGACAACGGCTCTGCACAAACTTAATGAGTTTTTATTTTTATTTTTAAAATTTTAATTTTTTTAAAGGGGGTTTTACTGACATGTTCCTCTTTTCATGAAACGTCTTATCATCTTTTTCTGGAAGTTTACCAAACATGTTTTTTTTTTTTTTTTTTTTTTTTTTTTTTTTTTTTTTAATTAAAAAAAATTTGCAGAGAATTTCCCCCCAAATTTTAAGCTTAAATTTTTGAAGCACATAGTCCAACACTTGAAAGGTTTATGCTTTTTGCATGCCCTGTGTATATTCGCTCATCGACACTAAAGAGCCCCGGAATATACCTAAGCAGAAATTTGTCCGCTGCATTTCAGGCTAGAAATCTGAGAAACACAATTTTTTGTATTAAAGGGCTTTAATCAGCCGTCTTGGATGGCACCTGCTGTGGTGATTATCTTTTTCCTATTATATGTCTGGAGATTTTATTAATACTTATTGTTGTTTAGTTTTATTACTTGGTTCTGTCTCTGAATCCTTCAACACAATTGCCTTTAATGCAGAAGAAGGTTTCTCCCTTAAATTGGGGACTATTGTGATCTCTAAATTGAATACCCTGGAATCTGGATACTTCAGTGGGTTCTTTTCATGGCACATGTTGGTGCAAATCAGTTCTCTGGACAGTCTAATTCAGGTCCGAGCTTGCTATCCACTTTTGTTTAGTTATAGATGGCTGTTAATTATTATTTGACCGAGAATTAGAAGTAGAACACTTGCTATCCCAGTGGGCGTTTTGCTTGTTGCCTATTCTTTCAATGCACTTATTGAGTTTTGATTCTCTCAATGCCTATGTTCTTGAAAAATACAGCTGCCCCAAGTATTCTTCTTATATAAAATTAAATTTTCTTTTTCGGTATTCCTATGCTTGGTTGAAAATGAAATTTTGGACCCAATAATTTTCCGCTTAGCTCTAAAAAGTAGAACATAGTTGGCATAGCTGGGTTTTTTAATTTCATAAGGTCCTTTTGATGAACAGGATGGAGCACTCAAATTTGATGATGTTTTCTTTTCTTCAGCTCTCTTGGCAACCAAGTAGAACTATTGGTTCACATTTTTCATTTGTGTTTCATTAACCTGATCATATGATTCTGATTGAATCACTACTTGGTGTCCATTTATTAACCTCCATCTACTCTAGAAGCTTAAGCTAATAGAGAGGGGTGTAATAAGTCCATTTCAATACTCCTCCTCACATTTTATCCGTATTGGGTAGGGCATCCATGTGAATATATTGTGCTTCGTCAAGGATCTTATTATTATTTGGCTTTGATACCGTGTTATTACCATCTAATATAAAAGTGTAGGCTGATAGAGGGGCGTAACAGATTTATTTTAATACCATTTCTTGGTGTAACACTAAGATATATATATATATATATATATATATATATATATATATTACACGGGATATGTTCATGCTTCTTTATTTTTGAATTCCATGCCTTAGTCACGTGTCAATGCTAATTTTGATACATATCATTAGTGGCATATGTTGGCACCTTTTAGTGGTTTCTGTCTCTGTAAGATTTCTCAAGCAGTAGTCAGCAACTTCGTATTATATTCCCAAGGAAATATTAATTGTCCAGATTCCATAAAAATCCCATTCATAACTGTATGTTTATGATTGTTTCTTCTCTTATCTAATTTCCTCTTCTATTACTTCATGTATATTTTTTATGGTGTTTCACTTATATAGGTGATGCTTTGTACAAGGAATTGTGGCATGCTTGTGCTGGACCCCTTGCCACTCTTCCTCGTGAAAGGGAAAGAGTTTACTACTTTCCACAAGGTCACATGGAACAGGTATGTTGAGGTTATTTTTGTTTGTGATCTATTTTGAAAATAATACCTCTTAATCCTAATTTGTAGTTACATTGACATGGATGGAAATTTTCTGGGTCACTTTTGGCCTCAATATTTATATATATATATATATATATATATATTTTAAATCAATTTTTATTTTGTTTTTTATTTTTACTGTGCAAGATCGTATTAGTTGTTATATATATTGATGTGTAGTATTAGTTATTGTATATATATGAGCAGGAACATAAATATTTCTTAGTTAACTAGCAAGATTTGCCTGAATCACGATGTTTATCCATTTTAGTTGCACATAGCTAATACTTTTTTTTATTTATTTATGTTTTTTGTTATTTATTTTTGACATATTCTTGTCCCTTTGGTTAATGCACAAAGTTTTTTATCCGGATGTGGTAACTTGTGTGGAACTTTTGTATAATATCTGCCATAATGTTAAAAAAAAATAGAGTGGCTAGAGTCATTTACATCCACTTTATTCTTCGATTATCTTTTAGCATATTGGTTCTGTTTCTACTGTTTTACAGATTTTGATTCTTTTTACAGCTTGAAGCGTCAACTCATCAAGGAGTAGACCAGCAGCTCCCTTCATTTAATCTACCGGCAAAGATACTTTGTAAAGTTGTGAATATCCAGCTTCGTGTGAGTTCTTTCATGTTCTATTTACATGCTCATAAAAGTATCTTTTTTTATTTTTTATTTGTTTTATATATATTTCATGGGACGGCACCAGAATTTTGGTTTCTTTCTTTCTTTTTTTGCTTAGTAGTTTATATCCTGGAATGCAGGCTGAACAAGAAAGTGACGAAGTTTATGCCCAGATAACTTTACTTCCTGAAACAGATGTGAGTTCTCTCTCCCTTGATTTCATTGCAAAACTTGGAATTTCTGAACAAATTTCCCCCCTAAATGCTTAATTGAATGAATATGCTCTCCACCATAGTGTGCGACTGCGTCTAACCTATGGTATTTATACTTGGTCCTTTATGCTTCTCATGCTTGGGTTATTTTTCTGTGGATCAGCAAGGTGAAGTCACTAGCCCAGATCCTCCTCCCCCGGACCCTCCAAGGTGCAACACCCATTCATTTTGCAAGACACTTACTGCTTCTGACACTAGCACCCATGGTGGATTCTCTGTTCTTCGGAGACATGCGGATGATTGTTTGCCTCCTTTGGTAACCTTAATTTTTTTTTTTTTTTTTTTTACGTCACCTTTACTTATAATGTATTGCTTCAGCACTACCTAGCATAACAATTTTCATTTTGTTTAGATTTTTTCCTGCCTGGTTTTAGCTTTCAATTTCCTTGTCAGGATATGTCCCAACAGCCGCCCTGGCAGGAATTGGTTGCGACTGATCTTCATGGCAATGAATGGCATTTTCGTCACATCTTTCGAGGTTAGCATATATTTTTGACTTGTCTGGTAGTGAATGCCATGGTTGTGCATTTAAATTTCTTTAATCCATTTTGGATCTATTGTACTGGTTCTTTCCAAATATGTACGGGACTCCTGTTCAATTCTTAGCAGTAGGTAGTGGTTCCATAAGACGCGTGCTCAATAATCCATAGTCATGTTGTTTGATGATTGTTGGAGTTTGAGCGAGGTTAGGTTCTGAATAGTTTCAGGTAACCTGTTTTGGGTGCTAATGGTGGATCCTGGGAAATACAAGTTAGCTTTTTGCAAAGGAAGATGCTGAGTTCCTGGATCTCCAATAGGATCTTAGGAATCAACGAGTCTAGTTCAGTATTACGATGGAAGGGCTTTATGTGTGGAAGAATGTTTTGATATTGTAAACCAATGTTGAAGTAATTCCTAGATGGGCCTTGGCCTTGGCCTTGGAGATGCTTTCATGTATCTGGATTAGTTTTTCCTACTTTTGATTGTACCCTTTTCATTATTCCTAGCTCAATTAAGCCAAAGGAGTTGTATCACAGCCACAGTGGGCATGTTAAATGAAAGGGCTTTATGTGTGGAAGGATGTTTTGATATTGTAAACCAATGTTGAAGTAATTCCTAGATGGGCCTTGGCCTTGGCCTTGGAGATGCTTTCATATATCTGGATTAGTTTTTCCTACTTTTGATTGTACCCTTTTCATTATTCCTAGCTCAATTAAGCCGAAGGAGTTGTATCACAGCCACAGTGGGCATGTTAAATGAAAGGGCTTTATGTGTGGAAGGATGTTTTGATATTGTAAACCAATGTTGAAGTAATTCCTAGATGGGCCTTGGCCTTGGCCTTGGAGATGCTTTCATATATCTGGATTAGTTTTTCCTACTTTTGATTGTACCCTTTTCATTATTCCTAGCTCAATTAAGCCGAAGGAGTTGTATCACAGCCACAGTGGGCATGTTAAATGAAAGTCCGGGTTAAGGGCCCAATTCTTATTGTTAGTCCTAAAAAGGATAAAGAAAGTAATACCTGGCTCACTTAACTGAAAGTCCAATTTCCATACCATAGAGCAATATTCTGGAATATGCTTGTAGGAAATTGTATTGCAAGGTAGTCTGTTTTTGTTTCGGATTTTTTCCCCATTAAAGTAAGCGTCCTATTAACATAAATTTGTCTGTATATTCTGTCATTTACATACATATATATATATATTTATATAATTGTGTAGATTTTATTTTTGTCTTGTTTCTTCCTTCTTCTAAAATAAAGAGGCATTTGGGATTAAATTTTTTTAATGTGCTTTATGTGCGGTAACTCCATGTTGCGGGACATCCATGCCCATACAAATTGTATGCTGGTAAGAATTACAGGATTTTTGAACCTCTCGATGTGGGTTCCTGTGCATTGAATGTTAAAATTGTTCTTATTATTTATGATTTATATTTCAGCATACATAAGTTGTAGCATTACTTGCAGGGCAACCTAGGCGCCATTTACTCACAACCGGGTGGAGTGTCTTTGTTAGTGCCAAAAAATTAGTTGCTGGTGATGCTTTTATTTTTCTGAGGTAAGATTTGTCATGCATGATGTGATGGAGTTGCTATTTTTTTTTTTTTTTTGTGAATTACTTGTCAAATTATTAAATTTTTTATCTACTTTTTTTTAGGGGCGAAAACGGTGAGTTGCGGGTTGGAGTTAGGAGGCTCATGAGACAACTAAGCAATATGCCATCTTCGGTTATATCCAGTCATAGTATGCATCTAGGGGTTCTTGCTACTGCATCACATGCCATCGCAACTGGATCCCTCTTTTCTGTTTTTTATAAACCAAGGTTGTTAATAGTTCGTATGGGCGTATATGTGTACATTTTGTTTTTATCTAGTTGATATCCTTCTGCTCTGATTGGCAATTTGGCATTCAATTTCATCAGTGTTATTTGGAATTGGGAAATCAGTTTTCTGATTCTCAAGCATGCAAGTGCTGATTTTGGAAATATATATTCAGCGTTGTTAGTGATTACTCAATTTTTGCTGAGATTTTGATGTTCCAATTGCAATAATGAAGTATCTAAGGTTTGCAATGTATAGACTTTTTATTTGTTTGATAGTTATTTCTATTTAACAATGACGTTTTATTTGATTAGTAGTTATGTATAGACTTTTTTTCCCTCTCGTGGAAAAAAATGACACATTTATCAAATGATGGTTCAGCATTCTTCTGTTTGAATTTCTTTTTCCTTGTATCCTCACATGTGATTATGAAATTGGCTCTCAATACAGTAGATTAACCCAATCACCTTCCATCTTGTTTGTAAATATGTTCTTTAGACGTCTTTCTGCCATGTTGTTTTGTTGAGAAAGATTGTTTTTACTAAAGTAGCACTGTTTGTGGCAGGACAAGTCGGTCTGAGTTCATCGTAGGTGTGAACAAGTACCTTGAAGCTCGGAGCCGAAAGCTCTCTGTTGGGATGAGGTTTAAGATGAAGTTTGAGGGGGAAGAAGTCCCTGAAAGAAGGTATATTTGTAGCTTGCCTATTTTTTATTTTTTACTTTTAGGATTTCGAAATATTTCTACTTGCCATGTTATGTATTTTTATATTTATTCAGGTTTAGTGGAACAATTGTTGGCTTTGGAGAAAACACATCATCAAAATGGCCTGATTCTGAGTGGAGATCCTTAAAGGTAGTTTTCTTCAATTGAGCTTTATGATCGGTTTTAAATTTAGTGTCATGATGTGTCAAAGGTAGGACTGTAACTCGGGCGGGTTGGAGATACAACTTAGGCCCAACCCAACATATGAAATGTTAAACCCTCACCCAACCTTCAACCCAAACTACTCAACCCAAGCCCAAGTCAGGCGGGTTGGAGATACAACTCAAGCCTAACCCGACATATGAATTGTTCAATCCTAACCCAACCCGTCCTTGAATTTTTAAATTCGGGTTAGGAAATTAGGTTAATTTAGGTTACCCATATGGTCAATCTTCATGCTAAAAATTTAAAGCGATCTCGAGTTTTTTTCATATTATAATACTCCAAAGCACCAAAAAAGTTAAACTTAATACAAATTTTTAAAAAATTACAAACAAATTCATAAGAAATTAATACTCTTTAAGCGTTCATGAGCAATAAAATGAAGATTTAAACAAAGGAAGTATAAAAGAAAAAGATTATCATAATTTGAATATTATACATATAAATATCGACCCGAACTTAATTAGGTTGGGATCGGGTTCGGGTTGATGGCACCTCAACCCAAGTCCAAACCTATATATATATAAATAGATTTGAATTTAGGACCGGGTTGAACCTAATTAAGTTCCACTCGATATTTTTATAGACGACTAGGGGTGCGACTTGGGATGGCCAACCTGATTTTTCACGGGCTTGAGCAACAATTTGTACAATTAGAGTTGTGCCTAGGTTGAAAAATATCGACCCGAACTTAATTAGGTTTGGACTTGGGTTGAGGTGACATCAACCCGATCCCAAGTCCAAACCTATATATAGACGACTAGTGGCACCTCAACCCAAGTCCAAATCTAATTAAGTTTGGGTCGATATTTTTATAGGCGACTTGGGGTGCGACTTGGGGTGCGACTTGGGCTGGCCAACCCGATTTTTTACGGGCTTGAGCAACAATTTGTATAATTAGAGTTGTGTCTGGGTTAAAAAATATCGACCCGAACTTAATTAGGTTTGGACTTGGGTGGAGGTGCCATCAACTTGATCCCAAGTCCAAATATAATTAAGTTCGGGTGGATATTTTTATAGACGACTAAGGGTGTGACTTGGGTGGGCCAACCCAATTTTTCACAGGCTTGAGTAACAATTTGTACAATTAGAGTTGTGCTTGGGTTGAAAAATATCGACCCGAACTTGATATATTGGGATCAGGTTGATGGCACCTCAACCCAAGTCCAACCCTAATTAAGTTCGGGTCGATATTTTTCAACCCAGGCATAACTCTAATTGTTGCTCAAGCCCGTGAAAAATTGGGTTGGCCTTCCCAAGTCGCACCCCTAGTCATTTAGATTTTATGCAATGATGTTTGGATTTTCTTTTACTACAATGTTATATTCACTTTTTAAGATGTGGATAACCACCATCACCTGCTAAGGAAAAAATGTTTAATTGCTCCACTTCTATGGGATAATCCAAATGAGCTCTTTAGAGATTTTGCAAAAGAAAAAGTGTATCTTACTGTTGTGGGAATACTAGGTGAGTTTAGGTGTTAAGACTTGGTTGCTTGCATTCATGTAATTTGGCTGGTGGCAGCAACCTTTATAATCTGCAAACTTTGTTCTTAAGAACCTCATGCGATGGAATATATTATTCTACTTCTCACACATCTTGAAAAACCAACTTGAATTCATACCCTACATGGATTTGTCTCACAAGGCTAGAATAATTGGGTTATTTTGGTCATTTGATTTTTAATACCATTTTGGAAAGGAGGATATTCTTCAAGAGTGTATTGCAAGATGGAGCTATGCTTATATTTTGACATTTATGTATTTGATCTATGTGCAATTTTAACATAAATTCTATGTAGTGGTTAATTTGTGGCACTGTACATCCTTCACTTGTCGAATTATATTATGGAAGAATCATGCATTTAAGTTAGTCACAAAACATAGGGGCCGTTCTCTAACAGGAAGTAATTCCTGTTTTCTACTGTCAATTCCTAAAAGTAAAACAAAAGTTTAGATCATGTTTACTAATATAATTTTACTTTTCATCTTTTAGAAAGTACGTTCACATTTAAAGAAGGAAAGCAAAAGTGAGTTTTTATTACTTTCTGTGTTTCCTCCGCTGTAGAGGGGAATTATTTTCTGTTACTGTAGCAACACGGTACTCATTAAAATTGACGCTGCCCCCCGTCATTTATAACATTGGCAAAACCCTGTGTTTCTCGTCCCTCTCCAACAGACCTACTCCTTGCTATTGAGACAACCATTCATCAGCAACAACGGCTACAAAACCGGCTACCACCAGATCCATGACAAATACCCAGAACCAAAAAACCCACCAAAAATTCAAAACCAAAAAAGAGAAAAATAAATAATAACAAAGCTTCAAGGAATACGAACCACGGAGAAAGACCAAACAACAACAATTGCCCTGAAAAAGGATGGGTTTAGATTCTAACAATACAAGTAACAAGTACATCCCCAAATTCAACTTGTGAAAAATATGAATATGAGAACCAAACTACAATTTTTGCCACAAAAGATCAATACCCAGAAACAAAGACTTTTAAATCACCCAACCCAAATCATTAGAATCACAATATAACCAATTTCATTGCCACCAAGAAATGCTCAGATTTCAACACTCAACGGTGACGCCCATCAACCACCACTCCAATCCCGTGTTCGAAGCCGAACAAGTACATCACTTCAGCAAGAATTCAGTCCCTCAACGATCTGCGCCGCAATATTATTTCTACCTGAATCTCTGTTTGTTCCGGTGATGACCGCCAGAATACGGCGGGAGTCTCCTGATCATCGTGGGAGCCATTGGTGAGATAGTGAGGTGTGTTTGGTGGTGTGGGTGAGTTTGGCAGGTGTAAGGAAATATACAGAAAGGTATTATAAATAAATAAATAAATATATATATATATATATATATATATATGTATATATTACTTATAATTTAAAAATCAAAATCAAAGTTATTGAACTTACTTTCTATTATCTTACTTTCAAAATATTGAAAACATAATAAATAACTAAACATGATTACTTTCTATTTCGGCTTAAGAAATCAAAATTATGATTTTACTTTTGGTGAAAGTAAAAGTAGGAATCAGTTCCTGTTAGTGAACTTTTCTCCGGCTGTAGCAGTAATCTTGAAAATGAATCATCTCACCTCGAAATTCTTTTAACACCTCATCATTTAAACACTTGGACTGCAACTAGAGGGGATGACTGCTATACGATCAGTTGGCTTCTTTGAAACAAGTCATCTGCTGGGAGTTGCTTAGGAGTGAAGTTCGCTTTAGGTCTTGAGTTCTTTTTCTTTTATCTCTCCCTTTCCCCCTCTCACATGCACAAACACACACACCCACACTCATAGGCATCCCCATTAAAAGGAATGGTTGGATTGTTGACTTATTGTGATTGTGCAAGTTATACATCGTTTTTTATCCACGTGCAGGTTCAATGGGATGAACCTTCATCAATTCTGCGTCCAGAAAGTGTTTCACCTTGGGAATTAGAGCCACTTGTGGCAGCAACTCCTTCAAACTCCCAACCACCTCAGAGGAACAAGCGTGCTCGACCACCAGTTTTACCTTCGTCAGTGCCTGATCTTTCTCCACTTGGTATGATAAACGTCTGGTCTTCATTGCGATTCCACTTTATGTAGATTTTTACTGAAAATTGTCTGTGCCTCTAGGCACGTGGAAAACCCCAACTGAGTCTCCCTTGGGTTTGTCGTATTATGATCCGCAAGGTGGTCGAGACCACCATCCATCACCTAAATTCTCTGCTACAAAGGCCACCTCTCTCAGCTGCAGTGAGAACAGTTCCTTTACCCCAATTTCCAGCAAGTCATTGTATCGGTTTAATCAGATGGATACCATAACCGAGTCTTGTAGACCTTTCGTTAACAAAGAATCTGGGGAAAAAAGACAGGGCACTAGCAATGGCTGCAGGCTATTTGGGATTGACCTACTTGAAAACTCTACTGCGGAAGAAACTTGGCCAGCAATGACTGGAGCAGGAGGGAAGGATCTTCCAGTTCCATCTGCGGATACTGAATCTGATAGGCATTCTGAACCGTCAAATATTTATCGATCTGATATTCCTTCAGTAAGTTGTGAGCCTGAGAAATCATGCCTGAGATCTCCCAGTGAGTCACAAAACAGACAAATTCGTAGCTGCACAAAGGTATTTGGCTATCCTCTCAATGCTTTGATTTGAATGTAGCGTATATCAAACAAGAAAGTCCCCTCCAGCAGGACCACAAGAAAGGAAGAGATACAAGTCTCTATTTTCTGAATCGTGGAGATTTCCTTGAGGAAGTTATGAGCTTTTGTAAAAAGATCTGATTAGGGACACTGAGGAGGCTGATGTATTTGGTTGTAGCCCTACTTGTCAACCACATCTATCTATTGCATAAGCACCCCCGCACATTTGCCTGAGGTTGCAGTGCTCTAGATAACATCTCCAAAATGATCATTAGAAGTTAGAATAGAATGTTAGAATCACGAGTTTTGCGACTTGTCAGGCTGCATTTTTGTTTGAGATTAAAATTTAAACTGAAAGTATCCTACTGGGTTGGCTGGTTTTTTATGGTGTCCGATGCTTCATTCCAAATGACAGTGTTCTGACGTTACTCTTTATCCAGGTTCACATGCAAGGGATTGCTGTTGGGAGGGCTGTAGATTTGACACGCTTGGATCGATATGAGGATCTGCTCAAGAAATTGGAGGAGATGTTTGAAATAGATGGTGAACTCTGTGGATCAGCGAAGAAATGGAAGGTCGTCTACACTGATGATGAGAATGACAGGATGATGGTGGGGGATGATCCATGGCAGTTAAGTGGCATAAACTTGAAACTTCTTTTGTTTGTTGCTGCCGCTGTTTGTTCTCTTCTTTTTGTATTTTCCTACTTGCAGTGTCTGTCAAACTTAAAATAATGGAATTTGAAGCCCTCTAACTGGATACATGGTTCATGTTCATAATGCATGTATGGTTTTGGATAATATCTCGAAAACCAATTTGTGGTTTCACTTCAAAATATTTTCAATTTTTTACCAAATCTAGTTATGGCTGAACGTGAAGTGAAATCATAAAGTGAGATTATTGACATTTCTTCAAAGTTCTAGGAGTGTTCATGGTTGGGAATCTGTATCTTACATTAGGTTTTTGTCAGAATTTCTGGCGGTATGTGTGATTAATTTAAGTCAAGCCTAAGCTACTAAAGCAGAATCTACTTCTTGGAAGTAAATAAGTTTCTTAAAATTTTGAATCAAAGAATTAGTAGCCCTGCTAAATGGTGATTCAACGTAGATTCTACAGCCGACAAGGAATTCCATTAATAATTGGCCGTTTTGATCCTTTGGAACAACTCGATGAATTTAGTAGATCCTTTTAGGAGGCTCTAATGACCATAGATCGAACCTATCCCATTTATTATTTTGTCCCCAAGAGTTCCTTTTCGGGAGCGATTCATCCTTCCCGAACACCTTGGAATGAAAGACAATGCCGAATCCTGCATGAATTCCTGACCTTCAACACGAGTACTTGACCACATAATTATTGTGAAATTTTCCCATTCTTGGAATTCAGTACTTGTTATGGTCTTTGATACTTGATTGAGGCAAATTAACAATTGATAACGAAGATTCAGTAAGTAATATAAAGAAATTGGTATCAGGATGAGTTATGGTTACAATTATGTTAACTGGCTGACACTTCCATAAATGTCTTTTTGACTTCCAAGATTAGTAATCTGTATTCTTGGTTGTATTTTCAGTGAGTTCTGCAGCATGGCGAGGAAGATTTTTATTTACACAAATGAGGAAGCTAAGCGGCTGTCACCTAAGATAAAACTTCCGGTAACTGAAGAGGTTAGACCAAGCAACCCAGCTACTACTGATGCTGCAGTTGGCACTGAAGAACAGTCATCGATTGTGGAGTCTGGCCACTGATGTGCCCATGCCCCTCGGTATACTACTAAGAAAGAGGTAACTTTTAGGGCGGGAAAAGAGCTCGAGAACCACTTGTGATTTTGTTTTTACTGTCAGATGCCAATTTGTCCATTTCTGGAATGGCAGGTTCAGTTACTCACCTGTGGATAAAGGACACACTTGAGACAAGTGCTGCCTTAAAAGATAAGGACATTGTCACGGTATTATTTTATTTATTTTGTCTGTCAAGGGAATCTCATAGTGGTTTTACTTATTTGGACTCGGGTGGGTTAACACAACTCATGCACGAAAGCATGTGGAGATGAAAAAAAATAAAAATAAAAGAGGAAAAAAAGAAAAGAAAAATACTTCACATTTTCTATCGATCATTTTTTTTTTTTGGTAGTAGTAGTAGTAGTAGTGGTAGTAGTAGTAGTATCTTCATGATTTACTACATTGTAGATTTTGTAGTATTGTGCTTTGTATATATAATATACACATATAGCCTTTTTTTTTCTCTTTTTAAATTTTAAATTTTTTTTTTTTTTTTGGGGTTTCATAGTGCTTGTTTATATTAGTTGATTCCCGGGGAAAGGGTTATTTTGAGGCCGGCTTGTGTTTTGATGGGACTTTGTGAACAAGTGGGACTCTGTATTGTTGCTTTTAACTCAAATTATGATGCTTTTGTTTATTATTTATTTTTCATTTCATACGAGCTCCCCCTGCTGTTTACTACAATTGGAAATGCAATGTTTGGCTCTGGTAAAATGCCTCAGGAGGTTTCGACTGTCAACTGTATATCCAATACGGTCATATGTAGTTTGGAAAAGAGTTGAATCTACTTATTCCCATGCCCTCTTAAAGTGACTGTTTTATTGGTAATTTTTAGATTGAATGCTTGGTTAGGGCCTGTTTGGTACACATTTTTGTTTTAACCTTGAAAATAAATAAATAAATAAACTAGTGCTTTGTTGTCTGCTGTTTTGAATAGTAATCGGAAACTAAGTTACCCCTGCCCATGTTTTAGTATATACTTTGGAAACCCTAGTCCTAAGGCGGCCATCAGTTACCAAGCAAAACACCATTCCGCAAATCGTAATTCCTAGGGTAGCCTAATTCACCATCTTCTCTGTCTTCGTTCTCCACCTCCACTGTCGCCTGCTTCCACAACACCACTGTTGAAACTGTCTCCTGCTGCCTCATACTTCATTGTCACAGACATCGGGTCTTCTCAGACTGAGCGGTTGAACACCACCATCTCCAACAACGGTTGTGTAGGGTTATCTAGTGAGTAGTAGTGTTGCTCAATAGATGCTCATCTTTAGGGTGTGTTTTTTTAGGGTACTAGTGTTGCTTAATAGATGGTCAATTTTTAAGGTTTTTTTTTTTTTTGGGTAAATATTTCTTTATTGTTTATTTTTTATTTGTTGGATAATCTATATGACTTGGTTCTGTGATCTTAAAAAGAATCTAGAGTATAGTTATAGTTAAGTTGATCGGTGTGAGAGTGGATCCACTTTGATTCCAATTCCAACCTGGTCAATCAGCTTTTGCAAGGACACCCTTGCTCGTAAGACATTCTCACTTATTGTTTTTCTTTTATTCTGTCATGTTATTGCTTAATATGAGCTTTTGCAAGGATTTGGCTGAGAGCATGAGCAACCTCTAGGATCTAGAGAGGGGAACTGGGATGCTCAGAATAAGCAAAACTAGACTTTGAGATTTAATCGGTTACGGGGGCGCGGGAATTCCCGTCTCAATCCGCCTGCTGCCTCCTTAGATGGGCATGTTATTTTATTTTATTTATTATTATTACTAGTTTTGTAAAAAGTTGAAACTATGAATGGATTTTGAATTTGATGCTTTGTAATTAGAATTTAATGGAATTTTAAATTAGTCAATCTTTTTAGTATGTCTTCTAACTGTGGCTCATATTTGAGTTCTCTCCACCGCCAACGCCGACGCGGCCACTGCCTCTCCTTAAAGTAGAGAGGACCATGTGAGAACCTCTTTAGCATACAAGTCCCCCTCCTGTGTAGTGACCTCGACTCTATAAAAGAAAGTCTTGTCATTGGTCGTGAAACTTCACCTTACATTGAGGAGGAATAGGAGGAGGAACATCCATCAGTCATGGCGGTAGTAGCCGGAAAGGACAAGTTAGTTGGAGTTTTTTTTTTTTTATTTGAAGGTAGGTTGGAGTTTTGCAAATGAAAAATCAGGAGCCTAAAAGCTAAAGACTATTTACCTCTGTTTGATACTTGCGTAGCAATCTACTCCCCTAGGGTTGATTCTCTTCCTTCGCCCTTAGGATCCTTGAAGACGCCCTATTTTGCCCCTACATATTTGTAGGGTCAATTTAGAAATTTTCATTAGGAAGGGTAAAATCATAATTTCACATACAGGTATAAACAACATAATCGGGAAAAGTTAATTGTTCTATATACTAAGCCAAGTTTGGGTTGCCAAATGGGGCGCTAATTACAGAAAGTGTAAATTTGGAAATAAATTTCTCGGCATTAACAAATAAAGCAATATTGATTATCAAAAGGAAATTGATTTTTCAAAGAATGGAAGAAGAAAAAATAAAAACTTGGAGAAAACTGAATTTTGTTCTTCGGAACAAAAACTTTTTATTCATTTGAAATATGATTTTCTACGTTTTTTTCTTTTTTGAATCTAAATAGGAGGGGTTGTTTGCTTATTTACATGTAATAACTTTAGAGAAGCAAAAATAAAATAATTTAAGTGCACATTTAATTAAATGTTGTTAAGGTAAATAGTAGTACATTCTTGGCCCAAGCAATACTCCCTGAGTAAGGACAAGGACAATTAGATGAAAGTTTTCTTATTTTTAGACAATCACACCCCCGGTGAAATTTGTCATCCAAACCTAGCCTTAAAACATGTGAAAAGTCTATTTTACCCTTCACTATTTTATTAGTTTTAATTATAAAATATCAAAATATTTAAAGGACCAAATTACCCTTTTCATCTCAGAGTTTTTCAGTTAAGATTGTTCTTGGTGTTCTTTGAAGATTTTATGATTGATGATCGACAGATTAGGTGATGAAAGGCTATCATAGATTCATAGGGATACAATTCATAAATCTTGTGTGTATACCAAACCAAAGCGGTTGAAGGCACCAGTTACTAAATCACAAATATACAAATCTATACATATACATATATATATACATATATATATATATATATGTATGTATAGATTGTTTGAAACCCAAACCCAGTATTTTCTACCTCTAATTGACCCTTTATTCCATCCCAAATGAAAGTCAGACTATGGGGTTTTCATTCCAATCTTTTCAACAAAAATCTCGAGGTCGTCGCTGTCAATTCGGTGTTTGAATTGCATCAAATGTTGGCCCCGAAGCGGTGTAATAGAGAAGGTGTTGTTGGCGGTGGAGGAGATGAAGCCGAAAACAGTGATGAACGTCAAGCAAGCAGCGACACCACCTCCACACCTTCCAACCACCGGCCTACGAGCGGTTCACCATCTCCAACTGGTGAAACACAGTTTTAACTCCCGCGAGCTTCACCGTTCTACCTTGCAAGCTCTATCGACCTTAAACAGAGAGCAGAACTTCATCTCCATTCAAGACCCAGAAGTTTCAACGTCAAACCCAAACGGCGGTGAACAGCAAACAACTTAAAAAGCTTCATCAATCGGTCAAGATAGCTAACTTGAGTGCAAGTCAGTGAGCATGAAAAAGATACAGTGATCTTAAGTGTCTCCATCGGTGCAAACACAAGGCCGGAACTCCATTGATTCCGACGAACTCCGAGCAGCTAAGCTCCATTGATTCCGGCCAAGCTTCATTCACACCATATACATCCGGCGGGCTTTGGCAACTATGAACACCGATGAGTTTCCTTTAGGTAGAGACGTACTGTTGAGTTGCAGTCCTATGTGCCTCCGTCCGGTGACAAACAGTTCCGGCACTACAGTCTGCAAACGGCAGTAAGATCTTGCCCTCCGCGATTCCGGCGAGCTTCCCGTTTCAAACTTGTGTGCTACGGCTCAGTTGGATCTGCTATAGTCTGCGAGCTTCATCTCTGGTGTACTCTATCCGTGTAAACAAGCTTCATCTGGGCAAGAGGAGGAAGAGAGAGAACGGAGAGAAGGGAGAGAGGAGAGAGAAAGGGGCTGTGAATATGGAGGAGAGAGACAAAGGGGCATTTGATTGAAGGATATTTGAGTCAATTGCATTTGATAATTTTATATCAAAGGGTAATAAAGTTAATTTACCATTGTGAGGTGTCTATCTATTTTATCAAAACTTAAGGGGGTGTGATTGTCTAAAAATTGGACAACTTTCCTCTACCTGTCCTTGTATCAAACTTAGAAGTGTTAATGTACTTTACCAAAAAAAATATAAGTGAGAAATAATTGTTGTAAAGGTTAAAGGGAAGATGATGGTATAAACAAAGGAGTATTTTCATCCGTATTTCTAACCCTTTCTTAGTCATGCTAAAGAACTTAAATATAAATTTATTCTTAAAATAACTCCCTTGAAAGCTCAATTGTTGACTTAGTGGAGTCTGTGATCATGCATATCGTTCATGGCATATAAATGTCCTTAAACCAGTAGCGATGTTTTATGCATGAACTTAATTGCATTAAATCATAAGGGTTTAGTTAGTTCAAACATCATAAACTTTGGAAGAACTCAACTCTTGATCTAGCAAAATCTAGGACCATGAGTTTCATTCATATAATTTGAATTGGTATATAGAATTATTAAGTAGGTTTTGAACCATAACAGCCCATACCACCATATGAGATAATATTGTTTGTTTTGGACCCCAGTTCGTACGGTTTTACTCTTGAGTTTTATCCCAAAAGATCTCGTGCCATTTAGAGTTAACACCACCTACACATATAGCACTTAAATGTAAATTTATTCTTAAAATAACTCACTTGAAAGCTCAATTGTTGAATTAGTGGAGTCTGTGATCATGCATAACATTCATGGCATATAAATGTCCTTAAACCAGTAGCGATGTATTATGCATGAACTTAATTGCATTAAATCGTAAGGGTTTAGTTAGTTCAAACGTCATAAACTTTGGAAGAACTCAACTCTTGATCTAGCAAAATCTAGGACCATGAGTTTCATTCATATAATTTGAATTGGTATATAGAATTATTAAGTAGTTTTTGAACTATAACAGCCCATACCATCACATGGGATGATATTGTTTGCTTTGGACTCCAGCCCGCACGATTTTGTTATTGAGTCTTATCCCAAAAGGTTTCATACCATTTAGAGTTAACACCACCTATACATATAGCACTTTCCCTTTCCCCACCCAGGTGATGTGAAATCTTGTACTCGTAACTTGCTAGCATAGTAACCTGTAGTGCCTTGCTCGCACTCGCTCACAAGGTCACCACAATCCACCCATAAGAGGTCCAACATCCCTGTTAGCACACTTTTGGTTGGGTCAGACACTATTTGTAACAATCCACTCCACCACATGGTATGGTATTGTTCGCTTCGGCCCGAGGCCACATGTTTTTTCTTCTGGGTTTTACCCAAAAGATCTCGTACCATTTGGAGTTAGCACCACTTACATATATAGCACTTCCCCTTTTCACACTCAGGCGATGTGGGATTGTGCACCCGTAGCCTACTAGCATGGTAACCTACCAGTGTGTTGCTTGCACCCGCCCACAAGATCACCACATGAACC